AGAAGAAGAAGACTAGGTCGCTGGGACAATACGTTTATTCGTTTGAAGTTTCGACGTCCGTCACGGATTCATCATCAGACATGAGTAGGAAACAGTAGCAGAAATAAACAGTATTATGCGGTTATTATTTATACAAAAGTTCTTGTATTTAGGAGTATGGTCTTCGAGGAAAGAGTATGGACATGAAGTAATTGTCTTCGATTAAGCCCTCCTGGAAAACGTCATGCAAGTAAAAGGATGAGACCAAGCCGGTAACGCTGAAGTGTAGTAGCGTGTATCTCAGAAACAGAACATAAACGGATTAGTGGACATAACTTGGGTGCTATTCGTCGGATTAGCCATTTACCACCCACAGAGGGTTACGACACTAGATAGAAGCCGACAATTATATTGGACAGAGGATCGATGCCAGGTCAGTCACCGTGCCTGATCTAATGTCTATTCGGCCTGACTGGATGCAGCGAAGGAGGGAGGAAAAGGCAAAATATGCACTACATTACTCGATTATAAATAGTGTGCTGAAAAAAATATCGCGATGGACTAAAAGTCGTCGATTAAATAATGTACTAATTACTCCTCTAGGCCTGCAATGCATTCAGGGCCACAACCAACTTGACGACAGATGCATGCCATTAAAGATTGATCAGTATGGGACAGAGGGCTAAAATGAGACAGGAGCGGAGGAAGTTCGGCGTCAGTCCAGACATTGGGCACACGTCTATCTATAGGCACTATGGGCTACTTTTTCTGTTCTGCACCCTACTTTAGCTGAAATCCGTAAAACAAAGTTTGACGTTAGAATTGGAAGAAGCAAAGATTTTTCTGCAAAAATGGTCTACAGAAACCTGTCCATTTTATTTATAGTACCCGTTCTATCGTGCTCCGATAGAAGTTGGAAGTGGAGCACTCTTCGCGTACGGTTGATGTAGGTTGACGACGAGCGAACTCTATTTTAGGACGACCGACCTGGGCTTCGTGGTTTTTTGAACTCCTTGATAACCGACAGCAAGCACACCCTTATCGTGGCCAGGTATATTACTATTTGGTAAATAAATGATTCATAACCGATGACCAAAAGCACAAAATCCTAACGTGCTCTGAAAAAACGAGTAGGCAAAAGAAACACAAAGAAAGAGATGCGGGTGGACGGAAATCGGTTAAAACAAAGCAATACTAGAAATATCTAGAAACAGTAACGAAAGTATGAGATTATATTACCCATAGGTCAAAACTCGTAAACGAAGTAAATCGATGAAAAGAAAAGTGCGAACAACTGTTAGATAACCTCACATTAGCACTAGGGATCGAGAAAGGGTTTACTACATCACAAAAATAAAGGCTGGAATACATACTAAGCACTTGTGACCTAATACGCCGATCAAAACACAAGATGTCGATGAACTCTAAAAATCACGGAAAGCCATTTAGGCGAAAAAGTTGCTCTTCCATAGGAATACGGAATTAAGTCTGACACACGTAATTCGCCGATTTTGGATGGCTTTTAATAGGCGCAGCTCATACAGACAATAGTATAAAATAGATTTTCTCAAATCCCCGTAAGAATGACATCACACCTCCAAGAGGGAAACGGCACCCTGATAAGTGACAAAACGTCACATAAAGCGGATTCCACAATTTGCGAAAGGAAGCCGCTAAACTTGGTGAGATTGTATGGAACATTAAGGCAGAAGTGCAGTGTTCAGCACTTATTATGCATCTAATAGAACTCCATGTCACTTTTCAGAATACTGAAATAATGAAAAGGGTTCCAAAAAAGAAATGAGGACATACGTCCTCATTTCTGTTGTGCACACGTGTGCACGACAGATAATTGCTCAGGCAAGGATTGAAGGAAAATTTATTAAGAGCACCTGTTCATCTATTCACCTCGAAGGGCGATTCGTTTTTCCCTGTTTCACAAAGCAACGCACATGAATTAATTCATGTGCGTTATTATACTATAATTATATTATAATAACTATTCGATCCCACTCCATATCTAGGTCTAAGGAGAAACGTGGGCAGACGGCTATGGTAAGTCAAGATATAGTAACACTGATTATTTTAACACTGTAGTTCAATCGGCAAATACCTGAATCGGAGGACAGGGAAATAATTACACCATGAGCAGCAGGTCGAAAGAAAGAATAGATGACCTTCAGGGAACGAATGACTTTATCGACAGTTCACAAGGTCAAATTCTGAGCTACTTCATTCGCTTTAAGCAAGAATTTCAAAGTTATTGAAGGCACATAATATAATGCGGATTATTGAATTAAATTAAGTTGTCTTAATTTTTACTGTCATATTTTAATGCGGAGCATTAACGTTGTCGAGACTTTTTTATCATGAGACATTTCAAAGCCAGCAGGTGCAACGACCTCAGTCAGTATCAGTCAGCCAGTATATTTGGAGTAAATGACCGAAGCCCTTAAAAACTCCATTGAAATGGT